ACAAAAACCCCCTCCAAAAAAAAAAAAAAAAAAAATACTTATGGAATGAATGAATAGTTAGTGACTGAGTGACATATATTTCCTGTCCCAACAGCCCCAAAGCAGGGCCAATGACACCCTGGTCTACAGGTCAGCAGGGAAATGAAGAGGTGTCCACCCAAGGGGAGGCTCCTGATAGCCCCAGGGACCCGACCACCTTGTGACCCTGCCCCAACTTACCCCATGGGGGTCCCGTTGCTGGCCAGCTTGGAAAGTTTTGCCATCGCCTTCGAATACGTCTCCTCGATGGTGGCCCTGGGTGGCAGGACAGGAGAAGATGAGAAAGGTTCTGGTCATTCTCGGGAGAGAGATCACCTCCCGTGGCCTCAGTTTCCCCATCTTGAACATCTACAAAGTGGCTCTCCATGGGGAAGAGGGTCTGTTTAGTTATTTTTACTTACTTACTTTTTAGTTTTTTTGCTCTAGGACACATGCACTCACTGGAGAGAGACAGAGAGACAGAAAGCGAGAAATCACCCCCCAGGGGGGGATGGCCACCCCGCAATCCCTTCTCCTCCATTCTCCTCTCGGGATCTTGGGCACGCACGCACACGCGCCCGGCGTGAGTTTAAGCCACCAGGTCCAGGACTCGAACTGCAGTCGGCTACATGGGAGTCCAGTGACACAGCCATTATGCTAAGTGCTGGTCTCTAAGTAGGTATCTTTTCTTTTGTTAGAAACCTGTCCATTGTTGTTTAAAAGGAAGGATGGATAAAAGATGGATAAATAAATGGGAGGGTGGAGTTGACAGGGTCAAGAACCTCTGGTTTTGAGGGTCTTCAGGCCGTTCTGGTTTCTGGAACCCCCTGGGTTCTATGCCCAGCTAAGACGGGAGGAGGTTCATATTTTAGACTGGAAAAAATGTGGGCGGTGCCACAAGATGGGCGTGGCCTCCAGGTCTCTGGGCGTGGCCTGGGGTGGGTGGGGCTTGGGGACCTCACCTTTCCCGGATGAAGTCCGCCAGCTCCTTGGTTGAGATAGGCCCCTGCTTCACGCTGTGATACAGGACCTCAAAGCCATGGTTCTTCTCGCCCTACAGGGAACAGGAGTGGAATTGAGAAAGGGGATGGAGAGGGCTTTAAAGCTGCCTAGCAACAGGGGCGTGGCCTAAGGAAGTAACCAGCAGAAGTCCATCCCCTTGGGTGTAAGGACTGGCTCAGGCCTGGACCAATCATGTGTTGTATTTCCGCAGAACCACAGAGATTGGCTCATGGCATTTAAGTTGGTCCAATCAGAATGAAGCTTGGGATTTTTGATCCATAATTGAGGGAGCGCAATTGGCTCTTATCTCTTTCAGCTCTTTTTTTCTCTCTCTCTCTCTTTTTTTTTTTTTCTGTTTATTTATTGAGAGACAAAAGGACACTCCCAACAAGGTCTCCAGGCCAGGATCCACTCCCAGCTTCAGCCAGCCAGGATCACAGGTTGTGCGTGCCAGGTGTGCATGAGGAGCCTTTCAAATATGACTTGGGACCCTCCTTCATGGCCCCAGCATCATGGAATATTGTGGTACCTATAAATGAGGTATTATGTGGTACAGGGAGAAATTGGATATCAAATAGAAACAATGAACTTTGTAAAGAATCTGAATCTGAGAGAGCCCAAATAAAAAACATGCGTAGAGTCCAACTGCTGGATCAAACCTACCCTGAAAGCCACGTGACCCCACAACATATAAACCAATGCAATCCTGAGTTTTTGTTCTTTTTTTTTTTTTTTTTTTTGAGAGGTTTTTGCTATAGGGCGCGTGCGCTCGCCAGACAGACAGAGAGAGACAGAGAGATAGAAAGCAGGAAATCACCCCCCAGGGGGGATGGCCACGCCGCAATCCCTTCTCCTCCATTCTCCTCTCGGGATCTTGGGCACGCACGCACACGCGCCCGGCGTGAGTTTAAGCCACCGGGTCCGGGACTCAAACCGCGGTCGACTACATGGGAGTCCAGTGACATAGCCATTACGCTAACTGCTGGTCCCAGTTTCTGTTCTTACCAACATAGAAACTCCTCTGAAAGTCTAGAGCAGGGTTTGAGTCTCAGTTCCCAGGACCCCACAAAGCTCAGTACCAGGTAAGGCATAGAACAGAAATCTTTGTTTTTTGAATACGTGAACAAATAAGCTTTTCTGCTTTAATGTGCTAAATTTTTTTTTGGTGGGGGAGAGGTTTTATTGCTGTAGGGTGCGTGCGCTCGCCAGAAAGACAGACAGAGACAGAGAGACAGAAAGCGAGAAATCACCCCCCAGGGGGGATGGCCACGCTACAATCCCTTCTCCTCCATTCTCCTCTCGGGATCTTGGGCATGCACGCACACGCACCAGGTGTGAGTTTAAGCCACCGGGTCCAGGACTCGAACTGTGGTCTGCTACGTGGGAGTTGGGCAACATAGCCATTTCGCTAACTGCTGGTCCCTAATACGCTAATGTTGATGGAGACTAAGCCTCAACTCTGGTGTCTGTTCATTCTGATGCCTCCAAATTCTGGGCTTGGAGTGCTGAAGGAAGCCAGGGCTGTGCTGTGTAGCCTAGGGACATCATTGTACCTCTCTGAACCTTAAGATGAGGCAAGGGGCCGGCAGGTAGCATGGTGGTTAAGGTGCTGGTCTCCCACGTGGCTGACTATGGTTCGAGTCCCAGATCTAGTGACTTGTTTTCTCATTCCTGTCTCTGTCTCTTTCTCGTGAGCACACATGCCATATAAAACATTTAAAAAATAATAATAATAATAAATAAAACTTCTATAATTCTTTCTTCTTTTTAGAGAGGTTTTTGCTGTAGAGCACATGTGCTTGCCAGAGATGGAGAGACAAACAGCAAGAAATCACCCCCCTCCAGGGGGAATGGCCATTCCGTAATCCCTTCTCCTGCATTCTCCTCTGGGGATCTTGGGCACGGATGCACATTCATGCCGGCGTGAATTTCAAGTCACTGGGTCTGGAACTTGAACCGCGTAGTCAGCCATGTGGGAGTCCAGCAACATAACCATTACACCATCTTCTGGTCCCTATAATTTTTTTTTTTTTGGTAAGCATTTATGTAATTTTATTTGTTGTTATTCTTTTTAAATTTGACCAGAGAGATAGAGGGAAAGTGAGAAAGCAAGCTACCAGGTGTGGGACTCAAACGGTGGTTGGCCATGTGGCAGTCCAGCGCCTTAACCACCACGCCACCTGCTGGGCCCCATAAATAATTCTTAAAAAAAAAATTAGAGCGGGGACCAGCAGTTAGCGTAATGGCTATGTCACTGGACTCCCATGTAGTTGACCGCAGTTCGAGTCCTGGACCCAGCTTAAACTCATGCCCTCTCTGTCTTTCTGGCAAGCGTGCGTGCCCTATAGCAAAAACCTCTCAAAAAAAAAAAAAAAAAAAGAATTCTTGATATAAAAATAACAAAGCCCTTGGGGTCAGCAGGTGGCATGGTGGTTAAGGACACTAGACTCCCACATGGTGGACCAAGGTTCAAGTCCCGGACCTGGTGGCTTGCTTTTGCTCTTTCTCTTCCCTACCTGTTTCTCTATGGTCAAATTAAAATAAAATAAATAAATAAAGGTAAAATAATTCTTTTTTTTAAATAATTATTTTATTTTATTTCATTTATTCATTCATTTATTTTAATTTGACCAGAGAGAGAGAGAAAGAGAGAGACAGAAAGTAAGCCACCAGGTCCAGGACTCGAACCATGGTCGGCTATGTGGGAAGGTCCAGCACCTTAACCACTACGCCCCCTGCTGGTCCCAAAATAATTCTTAAAAAAAAAGAAACTAACAAAGCCCAAGTGTCCAATCCTTGTCCATGCGCTGGGTTGCTTTGAGGGGGTGACATCCACTCCCCGGCCTCAGTCTCCTTGTCAGTTAGATGGGAAAACGCCATCACATCCCAAGGGTCTTGGTGAGATGGGGCGGCCGGGTGTGGCACGCAGGGTCCTCCTGGGGGGCAGTGAGGGCCCTGCTGGGGGATCCTCCGTGAGGCCGTACCAGGCACTGCTGCCCAGGCCAGCATCTGGGGCTGACGTGGAGGCAACCGCTGGCCCGATTCCCAGACTTGGCAACGCCCCAGCGGCGTCTGCTGCCTTCAGCCTGGGCTGACTGCCGAGGGTCCCAGGAGGGGCTGTCTCGGGCCTGTGCCTCCTACCAGAACCTCTGCTCTCCAATCTTGCCCCAATACCCGCCAGAGTGGGAGTTTTCTTTAAAAAAAAAAATAAATAAATTCAATCATTTATTCGAATTTGACCAGAGAGAGACACAGAAAAAAAGGGAAACTGAGAAAGCAAGCCACCAGGTCCGGGATTCGAACCGTGGTTGACCATGTGGGAGTGTCCAGCGTCTTAACCACCAC